ACTTTGCTCATCCTTTTGTCATTCTGAAAATTTTTGTAGGCTTTTGGTGGAAATTATTTGACAAGTTAAGTGCCGAAAAGATTTCCGGCGCTCATATCTAAAATCCTGCTGTTAGACTTCATGTAAATATTTTATTTCACCTCTTCCTGTCAACACGTTTAGAAACATTTTTCAGATATGAAATTGCGTCCTCAGGAATAGAAGTTATTTACTTCTCCTTCTTATTTGAAAACTAATACCGTTTTGTCACAGCAACAAAATGGAGTTGTGAATAGACTGCTTTAATATTAGATATGATATATTACTTATTTCTACAACTTTATTTAGCATTTACTTTAAAAGCATTCTAAACTGTGAAATGGGGTGACAGTAGGGTTTTGTGTTTTGAAGAGGAACTACAGTGTACCAAGGAAAGTTCAGCACAATGAAAATAAATTAAACAAATGGGAAATACTACAATTAAACCCTTCAATTCGTCATCCATTTATAACTCATACCGGTCATAAGAAACAGATGTGACAGATCGTATTAAATAGTAACAGCATATCATGGTGATATTATCACACTAGCAGAAGTATTGGGTAAAATAAGGGAAATACTACTCTGTTACAGATGTTAATAACAGAAATAATTGTAGTCATGCATTTCACGAAAGTATAGAATCACAACACATATCCTTAGTATAATTTGAAAAATGCTTGCTATAAATTCAGGAACTTGTTCAACTGTATACTAAGGCTTCAAAAGCTTCTTTAACACATAATTAAGACATACAACTTGTTTCGAGTTATTTTGAAGTTATCATCTTCCTAGGGAATTATATAAAATAATCAAACTTTGTTTTGAAGTGTAAAGCCCAGGTAATTCCATCAGTAAAAAACTCATTTTCTGTAAATACAGAATCAACTTTCATTGAAATGATTTCTGATCATAGTCATCCGCGAAAAAGGATGAACAGTTTGATAAATGCCTGACTCTTAACTATACCTATCATACTCAGTAAAACGTAGTGTTAAAAGACGTAATATTTATTCTAGATATGTTTAAGTATCCGACTATCTCTAATCCCCAAAGCTTTTAAAAGCATACAATTAAAATATTGATGCACAGTTATTTGAATCAGATGTATTTGAGAAGTTTGTCTAACTATTCAAAATGTCAAACTATTTGTCAAACTATTCTAAATGAAAACCTTCTAACTCCCAGAGCAAAGTTTAAATGGGTTGAGTTATTTTTTTCTGGCTGGCGATTTTTTTAGCGAGTTAGTTTTCTGCAGGATAGGGTCGCTAACTTCATGCCTAACCTTTCTTCTTAATCCAGGCTTCGGAACGGTAGTAACCGCAGAAGGGTTAAAATATTTCATACTACTCTATGGAAAACTAATTCACTTATTCAACAGGTCATTCATAGTCAGCACTTGAATAATACCCCTGAGCTATTATCAAGTTACTGCGAAGCCATGCTAGATCACCATTGAAAACACATCGGAACTGGATGGCCGTTTCATCCTAGAATGGGACTCATCAGCACTATGCATCCACGACCCATGCTGCTCACAAAAATCCAACCCAATACTGTGGACTATACGAAGTTAAGTATTAAAGCAGTTGGATATAGGCTTATGAGCCAGCGGTTAGGCGCCCTTAAGCAAGACCAAAGGTTCTCAGCTTGAATCCTCCGAGTAGCGTGAGTGGTGAATGAGCACTGTCAATAAAACCTATACCAAACAAAACGACCGTCCAATGCTTATAATGGTAGCCTAATATTGAGCATTTGTAAATATTCAAAAATTCATAAAACATTCAGTCCAGTTCGTTTAATTTATTTGTATACAGTTAGAGGGAAACCTACTTACAATTGATTTCTAATCACTGGTTCAATTTTCTGCATTTTTCCTGCTTTACACATTGTGTACCAGTTGCATATTTTGAGACCGTATTAAGTGTACTGGAAACTTCGTAACGCCATGAAACATATTTCCATTCCTGATCACCTTCATATTTATAAGTATGTCAATTTCTGTGATTATGTGAAGGCACTGATCAACAAAGTAGGGACAGCATTTCTACAACTGAAGAACGCGTGGAACTTCACACCACTGTCAAACAACACTAATGTCAGAATATTTCAAGACAAACTTCAAGACAGTTCTACTATATGGGGAAAAAGCTCGGCAAACCAAGAAGGCTATCATTCGGAAGATACAGGTGTTTATGAACAGTTAACTACTTAAGATACTGAGGATTCGTTGGCCAAACACCATCAGGAACAGCCTACCATGGGATAAAACAAACTAGATTTCATCAAATAAAGAAATCAGGAAAACATTTTGGCGGTGGATAGGACACACAATAAAGAAAGCAACCAACTGCATCACGTGACAAGATCTCACATGAAATCCTCAAGGTCAAAAGAGAAGATAAAGATCAGAGAATGCTTTACGCCAAGAAATGGATACAGACGTGAGAAGAATGAACATTAATTGACTAGAACTAAAAAGAAAGGCTTAGTACTTAGTAGGTTGAAGAATACTGGTGGGCGGTTTAAGCTTCACTTGGGGGTAACAGAACAGTAAGTAACTAAGTAAGTAGGCAACTGATGGAGAGCCCCCTGTGGAACAAAATAAATTCATATTCATTCTGCGCCAATCTTAATCTCCGTTCCCTTCAATAATAATAACAATACTTAAACAAATTATGTATATTTAAAAGATCTAAACGTTTTTGATTAGCTTCTTGTCAATATTGTGAATGTATACTGGCATGACAAAATATCTGTCTCATGATGATGAAGATGTTGAACTCCATGAGTTAGGTGATACACACCAACGATATTGTCTAGTGTAGTGTGTGTATACCAAATATGTTCAGACCATAGGGCTTCTTGTTAACCTCTTTTTGCTTGAGTCATTTGACCATATATGTCCCTTATTCACTCATAACCATGGTTGGTTTTATCGAGTGTGTGTGTGTGTGAGTGTGCATACTTAGTTCAGTTATTACATGACTAGCTTCATTCTATCTGTCTGTAAAAACTTAATCATTTCTTATTGCACCGAGTCGGTTTACTTACCTTCTCCACATTGCTTCACTTTGTGCTTGTGAACTATTTATTCTCATGTCTTTCTGCGTGGACTGAATCCTCAGTTGGCTTCTTATTTTACCTCCATCGCACAAACGAAGTCTGCATAACTATGATCTATACGAAAACTGAAGGAAACAGTTATTTCATAGAGTACTTGCACGTTCGTACGAATTGGGATGTCAAATTGTGCGAGCCTCCCTCGAAATGGGTGGTGAGCCCTGCTTGCTTTGAATCTAACCTAATCACTAATACAATTCATAATTATTATATTTACATCATATAACACTACTCAAATCTTACTTACTTACTTGCTCACTTACTTACTTACTTATGCACTTACTTGCTTACTTACTTACTTACTTACGTACATACTTACTCACTTACTTACTTACTTACTTACTTACTTACTTATGCACTTACTTACGTACATACTTATATACTCACTTAGTTACTTACTTACTTCCTTACTTATGCACTTACTTACTTACTTATTTACTTACCTACCTACTTATTCACTTACTTACCTACCTAATTACTTACTTACTTACTTACGTACATACTTACTCACTTACTTACTTACTTACTTCCTTACTTATGCACTTACCTACTTACTTATTTACTTACCTACCTACTTATTCACTTAGTTACCTACCTACTTATTCACTTAGTTACCTACCTACTTACTTACTTACTTATCCACTTACTTACTTACTTACTTACTTACTTACTTACTTACTTACTTACTTACTTACTTACTTACTTACTTACTTACTTACTTACTTACTTACTTACTTACTTACTTACTTACTTACTTACTTACTTACTTACTTACTTACTTACTTACTTACTTACTTACTTACTTACTTACTTACTTACTTACTTACTTACTTACTTACTTACTTACTTACTTACTTACTTACTTACTTACTTACTTACTTACTTACTTACTTACTTACTTACTTACTTACTTACTTACTTACTTACTTACTTACTTACTTACTTACTTACTTACTTACTTACTTACTTACTTACTTACTTACTTACTTACTTACTTACTTACTTACTTACTTACTTACTTACTTACTTACTTACTTACTTACTTACTTACTTACTTACTTACTTACTTACTTACTTACTTACTTACTTACTTACTTACTTACTTACTTACTTACTTACTTACTTACTTACTTACTTACTTACTTACTTACTTACTTACTTACTTACTTACTTACTTACTTACTTACTTACTTACTTACTTACTTACTTACTTACTTACTTACTTACTTACTTACTTACTTACTTACTTACTTACTTACTTACTTACTTACTTACTTACTTACTTACTTACTTACTTACTTACTTACTTACTTACTTACTTACTTACTTACTTACTTACTTACTTACTTACTTACTTACTTACTTACTTACTTACTTACTTACTTACTTACTTACTTACTTACTTACTTACTTACTTACTTACTTACTTACTTACTTACTTACTTACTTACTTACTTACTTACTTACTTACTTACTTACTTACTTACTTACTTACTTACTTACTTACTTACTTACTTACTTACTTACTTACTTACTTACTTACTTACTTACGCCTGTTACCCACAATGAAGCATAGGCCGCCCATCAGTTTTCTCCAACCAACTCTGTCCTGGACTTCCCTTTACAATTCCGTCCGATTTTTGTTCATTCTTCTCATATCTTTCTCTATTTCTCGGCGTAATGTTGTGTTAATATTAAGCTAAGATTAATTCTCCCAATCAATCAATCAATCTGTTGACTTATCTGACTTCCTCATTTTTAAAAAAAATCTTTTTTCTCCCTCTTCTATTTAGCAGTTTCTAATTCATTTCAAACAATTCATCCATTCAACCAGCATTGAATGGAGATGTGGAGTGAGTATGTCATTATTTCGAAAATTTTTCTCATGTTATTCTACTGACAATTGTACAATTTCATATACAAGTAATTTTTTACAAGAGAAAACATTTTCTACTACTAATAATACTACTACTAATAATTATAATAATAATAATAATAAAAATTGTATTATTTGTCATGAATCAGTGATTACTTGTTTAAATAATCAATCCAGTAACAACAAACATAAATATTTATCATCAACTAATACAAACTATAAACAATTATCATCACCATCATCATCATCATCATCCGTGATCATTGAACATCATAGTCAATCGATTCAAACAACACAACCTAAAGCAATGTCTGTTTGTGTTACATGTACTACTGATATGCTTCATAATACGGCCAATAATAATAATAATAACAATAATAACTCTGTAAGTTTCTTAATTTTATTTTATTTTAAAAATAATCACTTAAAGAAATTGTTTAAATTGAATTTTGTGCGAATTGAATATTGAATCTTGAAAAAAAATTGACTTAACTGTTTGTTTAAGTTTATATTGATTATCTAAATAATAATTATTGATATAAAGAGGTTGCTAATTAGTTAGTTATACGTCATGTTAGTCAGTGATTCTTTTTTGAGTAGGAAAAGACATTGTTTGGTTAGTGAAACTAAAATTGAGTGCTTTTTGTCGATGGCCACTTTGACTCGTTGACCTAAAAGGTCTAATCTCGAAGGCAGTCAATCAATTAATCAACAGCAACGTAGAACTTTGAACGTACAAACACCAGTTCATGTTGACACACTATGTTAGCACAGAGAAGTAATTGTCAGTTCAGAAGTTTAGGATTTGAGGAAACCCAGAGAATGATTGCGCCTACACCATTTGCAAACCGTTTGCAGCCATTTCATTAAGGGCCTGTAACCATCGATTACTATCATCTCGCTGGCCCAAACTAGGTAGTCAACACCTACCGAGATGACTCAATTGACTTGTCAGTGACTTCATGGATTTCTGCCATGTTTTGGTTTGGCCGCCCCTAGCTTTCTTCCAACCTATTCCTCTACATCTCAAAACGTAGCTCGACTAGGCAGTCAATGGTTAGGTATACGGAACACATATCCCAACGACCTCATTTGATGCAGTTTCAATACTTCATCTAATGAACTGCCATCTTTGCCTAAGAGCCGTTTCCTAACAACAGCATTGCTTACTCGGTTGTCCCATAATACACGAGCAATGATTCGGAGATACCTATGATTGGAAACCGGCAACCTTCGAATATCTTCCACTCTGACTGCCCATGTTTCACAGCCATAAAGTAGGACGGAGCGACCAAAGGCAGTGGCACAGTGTCATGAGGCGCAGTTCAATGGTAGACAGTGCCCAAGCACATGTTCATACACCATTCATCATTCCATCAAGATCGTGGAGTTCATTAATTCGGAATGAGAATATTCCTACTCCTTTAAATGATTTCTCTATATCTGCTTACTCGATTTCAACTTTGGACATTCTCTTTTCATCTTGTCAACTTCGTAAATAACAACCCTTCTACCAGAAGATAGTGGTTATATATGTGTTTGGTTAGATAAGAGCGTTAACACACACACATAGAGAGAGAGAGATAGCTCAGCCGTACCCGGCCTTATTTTTAAGCCATAAATGATGAAGTTTGTAGGTTCAGTTTATTGAATACTTAACTTTAAAAATAATTATATCAAATTCAGCCAACACAATCTAGGTTGATATGAATGATTATAAACAAGTCTTATGATCAGTTATCATATAACAATCAATTGAATACTACTATAATAAAGTATCACATTTTCCTTTACAAGGTCATATCATGATAAAAGATACTTTTGAATACCAAACTAGAATATTTATTATTTAACAGTAAAATAACAAACACTAATTTGATAGTGTATTATGGGGTTGTGAAGATTTTTAAGTTACACATTTTTGAAACCATGAATCGATCAATGTTAGACCAACCCCCATTAGAAACCTGGAAGAAGCACTGAAAGACGGCCGTTTCATCCTAGTATGGGACTTCTCAGTGGCAGTGCACATCCACGACTCCTGCACCCAGCATGATTCGAACCCAAGACCTTCGATATTGTGCGCGAACGCCTAACCATCGGACCACTGAGCCGGTATCTAATGGTGTTCATGTCTGACTTGATGAATTCACGGAGTTGCACAACCTCATACACAGTCTTCGGTAGTAGTTACTGTCTACACATTTTGAAAATATAACTGTAACTCATTCATTCAATGAAGTGTAGCTTGTTGTGAAAATTAGGACATATCTTTTATCGCATTTAAAACTTGTCAACTAGATCTAAATACATCATAGAGTTCAAGTGCTACTTCGACTCTAATAGGCACATATTAGTATCATTATCTGTAGGATCCAAACTGAGGGTTCGACTCTCAAGAAAGTTTAGACACGCGTCTTGTCCATCTGAAATCCAGAACTAGATTTTTGGGGTAAATAACGATTCTATCACTAATCATAAATATAAATATACATCATTACCTAAACAATAATACTGCGTTATTCCTCCAATTATTCAAATAAATGATATTCTATCCTTCGGAGTGTTTTCAATTCTGAAAGAGTGCTCCAATTCACAACCAAACTGCACATTTCCAATCAGTGTAACCGCTCCAGCCAAACAGAGGGACAAATCAATATGGTTGTCGCCATAACTAAGTGTCGCTTAAACAACATATATGCATTTCAGAAAGAAACATAGAAACTCATCTAAGGCCGAAGAAATAGAAACTATACTAAAATACAAAGATTATCATCTCAACAAAAAGGAATCCAACAGATTAACAAAATGTACAACTGAAAGAATCAATTAGGGACAAATTACAAATGTATACAACATGGAGGGGTTTTCACAAACAAAGCCTTCAAAAACGGATGTTACACTATCGACTAATCCACTAAGTCAATAAGACATTGACTTTTTAAAATGAACAATCCTGAGTTTAAGTCTCTGAACAAACAATGATTTCAGTATTAACAGGTATGATGAAACTTTCATGGTTAGATAAACTTTAGAAACATGGAAGCAATGGACGGCCGTTTTGTCCTACTACAGGATTCATCAGAAAAGTACAACCGTAACCATCTCTTACTGGAATCGAACTTAGGACTTTTGGTCTTATTCGATGACTGATTCCCGACCGTAGCTGCTGCCTTGACGTGATGGTCAGGCTTGCCTATCGTGATGACCCAACCGAGAGCTATATTGGCTGGAACATATGTTCCTGAAGGTTCTACCATGCCACGCAGGTCGATTGGAGAACGATGAGACTAAAAGCAGCTACTCAAGGTCTGAGGGCCAAGTCGTACTGCTGACTGACTGTGCGGGGGTGTGACAGCAATAAGGTGTTTCCCTCGGACAACCAGCATCTGCAGCGATGCTGAATTCTCACAAGGAAGGAAGGGTTAGAAAGGGTCGACACTAAAAATGTCAAACCTCACCCTACCTCATGGATTTCCGTCTCCGGCTGTAAGGATGCCCACTAAGGGCCTTTAAGAGCGGAGCTAATATTCAAAAAACCTTTGATAAAAAGGCCGTGAGTGACTGGCCTCAAGCAGTTGTCCCTTGGACTCTGCGGTCACGCACCCAGGTCTCCAAGATCAACAATAATCTATCTTCCTTTTCAGGTCCCTCAATAAACAAGCTTCCACGGTGTGGGTAGCCGGGAAATGACAACCGCCCTCATACCTGTGACAGCACACGAGACCAAATTGGTCAAAATCAAATCCTTCCTACACCCACACATACCTCTCTTCTCCCCTCAACTAACTCTACTCACATTCCCTTATCTCACTGTACCGCTAATGCAAACGAAGCGAGCTCATGAAACGATGACTGATTCATCATTTAAAGCAACCAGTTAGTATAAGATGATAGTTAACACAACTTAATTCACAGCTGATATAATCCGGAAGTTAGATTTTGATCATATTGTTTGAACTGAATAGTCTCAATATGTGACTTGAAATGCTTATCTTATCATCATGTTATGGTCATTACTGTTGGGGTGGATATTATTCACAAACTGGCTTATAAGTAGTATACAGTGGAATGTCACCTAAAAGTTATTACTAAATACAGAACAGTGTCTGGAGATCGGAATGCATGACCTGATCAGATTATCCGCATAGAATGACTGTATGTCGGCCAAGACTAATCAAATATGCCAGTCAAAATATCAACAACCGGATTATCCAAACCATTTCAAGTTGAATTCAGTTCCATTGAAACGAAGGATCCATCAGTATTAGACCACCATTAGTAATCCCTAAGCACTGAACGGCCATCTCGTCCTAGTATAGGACTCATCGACAGTGTGCATCAGTGACTCCCCTCCCATTATCAACAAAGCAAATCAAATCTAGGACTTTCGGTTTCAAAAACGAACGCTTAACCTCTGCACCACTAAGCCGTTATCCAGCGGTGTTAATGTCTAACTTCAATCAATCCAAATTTCCCATAGATTCTTTGTAAACTGCCCTTGGAATACATCTTCCAATCAGTCATAAAACACGATATGAACAGTTGTTCTTTATAGTTTCTACTATCAGTTTGGCGACAAATAATATATCGATAAAATTCCCCTGAAAAAAGATGAACAGGGCATTTATTTTTATTCGTGTGATTCAACTACAGAATTCATTCTTTCCACAACAAGAAAAAACCCGGAGATTTATGCAACTACTACTACTTCTACTACTACTACACACGAAAATCAATTTCCTTTTTTATCTAATTACGTAACCAAATAATATATACACAGATTTTGCCATAGATATATATATTTCTCCCATTCTATTCTAGGCTACTACTAGTTTTATAAATATATATACCGAGAAAAGGTTAACGAATACCAGTGTACACTTACACAGACACACACACAAGTGTATATGTGTGTTGAATCATTATTCTACGCCGAAAGTTTGCCCGAAAATTCATTACTACAGACTGATAGATATATATTCGTATAAATATATATATATATATATATATATATATATATATATATATCTTCTTAGTTTCGTTGCCTACTAAACTATTCAAGTGACCTTTTTTGCTTATACACACACTAGAAAAATACTTACTTTCAATTCTCTGTTCACATTTCCTCATTTCAGGTTTTCGTCTATTTTGATCTAATTATTATATATGATAAAATGATTCGTAAAACTATTATTCATATGAATGAACCAGTGTTATTCGGCGCGTTTTCCATGTCTCTAACTAACTAACTAACTAAGTAATCTGATCATCAATTTGCTGTACAGTGTTGTTGTACAGTCTTGTTTGATTAGGATACATATAACCAAAGAAGTGTAGTGTATACGCCGCATATTAGTATGACTAGGTGTACACTGATAGATGGATAGATAGATAGGTAGATAGGTAGATAGATAGGTAGGTAGTTAATATGCAGACAGAAATTATTGCAATTTTATTGAAAATAGGTCAATTAATCATGCAGAAATAATTGTGTACATATATATACATATACATATATATATCGGTTTCGTATAAAATCGAACACCTATTATTACAGTAGTATACAATTGCACAGGTGTAGGTTTCATTCTGGCTCTTTCTACCTCTCTATCTATCTATCTATCTATCCCTCTATCTGGAACAAAATCATTGTAACTAGCATGAAATAGTAGAAAAAACAGTGGAATTTTTTTTCACGTTTCCCAATAGAGTGATTCACGCATTGTTCTGTTGAAATGTTGTAGACTAATGAAAATCTGAATAAAGATTCGTGTTTTGTACACCTTTATATAAGCCAATCAGGAATCGAACACATATTCTGTCAGATCTTAAAATGAACATGTTGTTATGTCCGTCTCTAGGTATGCTTAAAACTTTTACGGGTTCACCTTAGTCGAATAAAGAGAACGAGACAATGAACTAGCGTCTAGGTAGGTTACTGTGATCCTTTGACCTAATTGTACCAACAAGAAATCTTGATATAGTGTAGAAAGTGTATTCTACAAACACCTAGCCAGCACACAATAAATCCAAGCACTCAAATCACGTTTATTTATACTCTGCTGAGTCATCCTTGAGACAGTCACAAAGATGGCACACTAAAATGACACAGTAATCAATCACAGCCAAGGATTTTCCAGGTGGGAAATGTGATCTCAAGGTCAACTGATCGGTCCCTGTACTAAATCCAAAAATAAAGATATTTATCAAGCGAGTTCTGGGTATCAAACATCTTCAACAAAACACTTATCTAATTGGTATCAGACTTGTTCAACCTCGATTGAATGATGATAGTCAACAGAACGATTACTCGGAGCCATTGATAAAAACAGTTTCATTCTTATATGTTTGTAACGGGTACAACCTACAATTTAAACCAATCTTCATCCAGATCTCCTGTCATATATCAAGTTGCTTGACTTGAAATACAAAATTCGATTTATAGAGAACGTTTGCATGATAGAGTTATGAAAATTTTGCAGTTTATCACTGAAATCACGGAACAATCATTGTTATCGACTACACGCAAGGCCGAAGGTCATGAGTTCGAATCCTGCCAGCAGCAGGAGTCGTGTCATGGGCGCTGCCACTGATGAGTCTCATATACCAGGATGAAACGGCCGTCTTTCAATGCTTCCAGGTTTCTAATGGCAGTCTATAACAATGATTAATTCACGAATTTTAGTTAGTGACCAATGAAGTTCAAACCTGTCGGGTGTAGGCAGTAACTACCAAAGACAAATGGGTGAAGTCACACAAAATCCCTAGATTGATCAGAGTTAGACATTAACACCGTTGGATGCCGGCCCAGTGGTCCGATAGTTAAGCGTTCACTCACAATACCGAAGGTCCCGGGTTCGAATCGTGCGAGGTGTAGGAGTCGTGGATGCGCACTGCCATACCAGGACGAAACAGCCGTCTTCCAGTGCTTCCAGGTTTCTAATGGTGGTCTATAACAATGATCAAATCACGATTTCAATAATAATATAAACGAATTTTAGTTTGTTATTGTCAATGCATCGATAAAACTTATCCCTCTTAATTTTTTTGTTTTTTTTCCTCAACCAAACACAGCTTGATTTAACTACTACTACTAATAATACATCTTATCCATATGCCGTAACATCATATCCAACACACACAACACCATCAATGATGCCCATCACTAACACTGTCGATATGAATTCCAGTGAAAAATCAATCAGTCTACAATGTACCAAATTGATTACACGTTTTATTACAAATTGTCCATTTCAATGGAATATTAAATCAACTGCAAATCAACAAAAAGCCAATACATTGAATAGTAATAATAATAACTGGGAGACGACAATGATTATGACGAATACATTGACGAATACGTCAACAATACAAACTATTACAGAAGAACAAGAAGAAGGAGAAGAAGGTGAAGGTGAATGTTTCGATTCAATGAAGAAATTAAAACAAACAGACGCGGATGAATTAATTGAAGAATGTGTCATACCTAGTCCAGTGTTTAATTTATTCTTATATTTAGCACAAGAAGGTGTATATGCAAAAGATTTATTTCGACGACCTGGTAATATTGCTCAAATTAAAGTAAGTAGTATTGATTGGATGATTTTGTTTTGTTCTCTGTTATTGTGAAAAAAAGTGACACTCAACATGATGTTCAATGACCTGACTGATTAAACGATCCTTCGTAGGTTCTAATTGGAGTTGTGAAGACTTACTAGAATCAAATAGATCTCAAGTCGCATTAACGGTTTACAATGATTTTTGTCTTTACTTGGATTGACTAGCGATCAGCTCAGAGGTAGCATCCAAACATTTTCAAACATATTTAAACTGATAGTAAATAAAGCTCACTTCTTATCAACTTTAAACTACTACTACTACTACTACTACTACTACTACTACTACTACTACTACTACTACTACTACTACTACTACTACTACTACTACTACTACTACTACTACTACTACTACTACTACTACTACTACTACTACTACTACTACTACTACTACTACTACTACTACTACTACTACTACTACTACTACTACTACTACTACTACTACTACTACTACTACTACTACTACTACTACTACTACTACTACTACTACTACTACTACTACTACTACTACTACTACTACTACTACTACTACTACTACTACTACTACTACTACTACTACTACTACTACTACTACTACTACTACTACTACTACTACTACTACTACTACTACTACTACTACTACTACTACTACTACTACTACTACTACTACTACTACTACTACTACTACTACTACTACTACTACTACTACTACTACTACTACTACTACTACTACTACTACTACTACTACTACTACTACTACTACTACTACTACTACTACTACTACTACTACTACTACTACTACTACTACTACTACTACTACTACTACTACTACTACTACTACTACTACTACTACTACTACTACTACTACTACTACTACTACTACTACTACTACTACTACTACTACTACTAATACTAATACTACTACTACTACTACTACTACTACTACTGTAGTGAAGGAGAACACAGCTGGGGCAACCGAATTGTATTTAACGAAAATTACAGAGTTACTCAGTAAAATAGGAAAACCATATCGCGTAAATCGTTCATTTGCAAGATATCAGTTCATCATATCAAAATGGACTGTTCCTGTTGCAAAACATCAATCCATTGTCACTATTCATGCGTTTCATGCACAAATTCCATTGTGTTCTAACTCTTCCTTTCTTGATCTTCCCCCATCTTCTGCTGTCAGGTATTATGTTTACACTCACGTCATATACTACTTATAAGTAGCGCTCACCACACTACTACTACTACTACTACTACTACTACTACTACTACTACTACTACTATTACTACTCTGACTATCAAGCCGCTATATAACAGTGGTATAGTTCAGTCAGTTACGGGTATGAGGGCGGTTGTCACTTCCCGGCTGCCCACACCGTGGGAGGTTGTTTATTGAGGGACCTGAAAAGGAAGACAGATTAGTGTTGGTCTTAACGACCTGGAAGCTTGACCGCAGAGTCCAAGGGACAACTGCTTGAGGCCGGTCACGCACAGCCTTTTTATGACGGGTTGTTTGAGTATTAGGTCCGCTCATCAAAGCACTTAGTGGGCACCCTTACCGCCCTACCTGACGGAAATCCGTGAGGTAGGGTGAGGTTTGACATTTTTAGTGTCGACCCTTTCTAACCCTTCCTTCCTTGTGAGAAGTCAGCATCGCTGCAGATGCTGGTTGTCCGAGGGAAACACCTTATTGCTGTCACACCCCTGCACAGTCAGTCAGCAGTACGACTTGGCCCTCAGACCTTGAGTAGCTGCTCTTAGTCTCATCGTTCTCTAATTGACATGATAGAACTTTCAGGAACATATGTTCCAGCCAATATAGCTCTCGGTTGGGTCATCACGATAGGCAAGCCTGACCATCACGTCAAGGTAGCAGCTACAGTCTGGCGTGGTATTGTTCAACTTCGATCAATTGACGATCTTGCACAACCTCATCCTGAGAGTTTCAGAAGTCATTGATTTGCATTGCTGATGAGTTCTGTCCCGGAACGGAACAGCCGTCCACTGTATCAAAGTTTCTAATGACGTTCTAACACTAATCGATTCAAAAACTAACCCAATAATCTTCACAACCCCATAATGCGAATACTTATATATCATGAACTGACTAACTAACTAACTAACTAACTATTTCCAATTGGTTATTTATTTATTTAAAAGTTTTTCTATAATATTTCTTACTTGCTTTATTGATTGTTGTGATATTTCAACTTATTGTCTATTTACTATCATCAGTCAATAAAGTATGTTTGTTTGTTTCATTTGTCTGCGTGTTTTTCTACGTCATTATTCTATTTTCAATGCCCTGATTTAACCTTTTTCTGGCAAAAGTGTGTGTGTGTTTAATTTTCTTTCTTACTTTGCTAAGGACAATGTTTTTGTTTTAATCAGTCAGTCGATCAATCAATCAATCAATCAATGCTGTAAAACAATACAACCTTTCTTTTTTGAAAAACACAATTGATAACATTGAACTTGATCCAGTGAAATAATAAGAATAAGAATAATAAAGCATTTTCATATGATTGATATTTGTTTTTTCGTGATCGAGTATGAAGTATTGTTTAGAAATAACTTTTTTTGTTTTAAGTTCAAAGAAGTATTATACTGTTTTGTCATTTACGTATTTTTAAATCGGGTAAACCTAATGCCAATAAATAACTGACTGATTGATTGGTGGATTGATTAACTGAAGTTAATTGTAAAGAATCTATGCACACCTTTGGAATTATCAATCAATCATTGTTATGTTAGACCACCATTAGAAATCTGGAAGCACTGAAAGACGGCTGTTTCGTCCTGGTATGGGACTCATCAGTGGGAGTGTGCATCCACGACTCCTGCACCTCGAAGGATTTGAACGTGCGACCTTCGGTAATGTGCGTGAACGCCTAACCATCAGACCACTGGGCTGGCATCTGACTGGGTTAATGACTAACTTTGGTTGATCTAAGGATTTTGCGTGACCTCGCCCATTTGTCTTTGGTGATTATTGCCTACACCCAACAGGTTTGAACTCCACTGGTCACGTCTTCGCTCTAGAAGCATTGGAAGATGTAGAAACCTTTATGTTAGGTCACGTTAGATCTCCAGAACTCAATTGGAAAAGGTTCTAATTTTGAATTTTATATTTTCAAGCATGGACTGATCAGCTGACTTTGAAACTGCATTTTCGACCCAGGTTGATGCCTTTTTTTTTAGTACCCTCTCTCAAGGGTATTTCCATGATGGATGAATAAACTCGATTTGTATGCTTGTGGACCTCGGTTTTCTGAATGCTTTTAAAATACACTTTGTACGACTTGTCAAGACTTTTTCCTCTACTTAATAGGGCTTTCAGACGCTTTGATTAGAGTAACCTATCGTGTTACTGGATCATTAGTCTTCGCTCTCGTTTACCGACCAAGGTGAACTCGTAATAGTTTCAAGGATATCAACACATTCATTTCATGATTTAACAAATAAACCGTTACTTAATATCGATATCACTATCTCATTGAATTCGAAAATAAATAAAAAAATTGATAATTCTTTCAATATACAACAACATACTACTTATTGATTTCACTTGCTAGTAGTATTGTCTAGGATAGAGATTTTCCAGATAGATTATCAACATATATATATATATATATATATATATATATGCATCAGAATATACAAAAAAAGATTTATCACTTATACAAACATAATGATTGTTTTAACTGAAAGAATTGATACTTGCATGTATTTTGCGTACGTACATATATATGTATGTATATTAACATGTCGACTGAATGGTATCACGTAAATATCTCCTCTGTAATTTGCCATCTACGATAGTATACTACTATGCAGCCATGATGATAGCTCTTTTTCATGTATCCATCCATGTTTGTGTTGTTTTTTGGTGTTGTGTTGTGTGTGAGACAGGTAGAGGAATACTGTATAATTTTTACAAAATAATTACTATACTACTATTGATAATAGTAATAACACTCATAAAATATAATATTAGTGAAAATAGAATAAATATATCTGAGATAAAACTGATTTATCGTGCAAATAAAATAAAAAAAATTAGGTTGAATGTTGTGATGAATAAAGTTATTTGCTTCAAATTGATATTGTTCATTGTGAATGATAACTGAAAATGTCAATGTCGATGTTGACATTTGGCATGTATAGAGATATATGCATGATAGGGTTAGAGAAATCATGAATAGATCAAGGTTTGGTCACTATTAGAAACGCAGTAGTACGTGACTGTCTTTTCGCACATGGCATGGGACTCATCAATGGCAGGGCGCATCAACGAGTCCCACAAGTGGCAGGATTCGAACCCAGGACCTTGCGCGCAAACGCCTAACATCTAGACCGATGAACAGGGATCTAAGGGTCTTAATGTCTAACTACGATCAATCTACGTTCTTCTGTGCTTCACACCTGAATAGGGTTGAACTTCACTGGCCACAGATTTTCACTAGAACTCTAAGAATTTCCTCACCAAGTTAGTCAGTAATAAGCACATTTTA